TTACATCGAGTTCAAGTAAGGATAATGTTCTGCTTTCTATTAAAAGTTTACTAAAGTCATATAAACGACTTTTACCTGTAGCACAATGGTTGTTCACTTTTAATCTCAGAGTAGTTAATGAGGTGTTTGCCCTCAAGATGACGGAAAGGACTGTTAACCAGTCATCACTCACTTCTTTGCTACTGTTGAGTGTCAGATTGAATGTGGTAACTGATGTGTTATTTGCCAAGCCTTCCACCACTCCAAAGGCGCCAAGAAACTGGGGTATAAACGATTCTCCATCACCACACTCATTTATTGTGATAATTAACGTAGTTATTGACGTGTTCACTGACAGTCCGTGATCGAAACTGCTCAGCCGAATAATATCACCTGTTTCATCTGCTGCCACAGTTATTGTTAGTGTCAGTGTAGTTATTGACGAGTTTAATGACAGACCTTGATTAAGACCAAAGAACAACCTGGAAAAACACTTATCAGTGGGGTTGTTAAAAAAAATTGCGACACATAATGTATTTAATGAGCTTGTTGTCACCAAGCCCTCATAAAGGCCACTAAAAGCGCAATAAAAGTCTGATTTACCCCCGTTCAATGAGAGACTAAGTTTCTTAAGTGACGTGCATTTTATCAAACAGTCACCTACAACCTCATCCCAAAATGAACACATACCATCACTAACGATTACAACAGAAAGGGAAGATAATGATTTGATTGCCGCTAGCACGTTACTCAGTTTAGACGGACTCAAACAATTCTCCTGATTCTCCTCAGCATAGTCAAGGCTACTGAGTGTAGGACTCAAACTATTCTTCTGATTCTACTCGCCCTCGCCGTTTATTTTAAGACTGAGTGTAGTTAAAGATGCCATTTTGATCAAACGCTCACCCAGTTTGCTTTCCCATCCTTCTTTCATGTTACTGAAGTTGAATGTGAGACTAAGAGATGTTAGAGAACTGCTTTGCAATAAACTGTTCCCGAGGTTTTCTCCCAAATCTGCATCCACGTCGCAGCTGTTGACTGTAAGATCAAGCGTGGTCAGAGATGGATTTTCTGCCAAAGCATCACCTAGACAACGTGTCCACTCCTTGGTAACATTACTATCGTTATTGATTGTAAGACGGACGTTTTGTTTTCTTCTCTCCTTGACGTTAGTAAAAAAGACTGTCAATGCCGCAGGATTATCGGTAGTGGTAACAAGAACATCGTTCGACTCATCTGGGCCTATACGCACATCATGTACATTTAACTGAACGCGACTGTTTTTTGAAAGGCTGGAAGGAACAATACCTCCGTCTGTTGTCAACTCGCCCCATATATTGATGGACCGGGAAGATAGTGTCTTGTTTTCTTCCAGACATCTTGCAATGGAATTAGAAACTTTGCTTGTTAAATTTCCGTGCACGTTTAATGTGAGAAAAGTAATGGAGGAAACTGCCACGGCTTCACAAAGAGCTTCTGCTGTTTCACAACTCATCTCACCCCAGACGTTAACAGTAAAGTGCTGCTTTAGATTCAGTCCTTTTCTAAGCACAACAGGACGACAAAGATTATCCTCTACGTTGTTCCAGGTGTTCGGATAAATAGAACAAACAACTGAGGGCTTCTTTGCTAAGCGAATATTTTCCACAACAGAATGCCAGTTACCAGGGAGCTCACCGAGGACACACAGTCTAAAATAATTCAAAGAATTATTTTCCATCAGACCTTTTTCCAGGAAATTGGCATTGGAGAAACTCAGCGGTCCATCAAAACGTAAATCAAGCGATTTCAAAACTTTGTGTCGTGCAAGTGCTTCACTGACAGCAGCGACTAACAAATCCTACAGGCCTCCAACAATACAAAGAGAAACAGAATTCAAGAATTTATTTGACAAAAAATTTTGTAGGGCTCGTGTCGCAGTGTACCTCATTGAGCCACGTACCTCGAGACCAACAGACGTCAGCGGTGCCAATCCAGTTTCAAGTGCATTTGAAAAACCCTCGCTATAAGCATGTCCAGACAAAGAAAACGTTGCTTTTGTCAGAGTTCGACAAGAAGCCAACCCATGTACAATTTGAACCAGCAGGTCACTTTCCTCAGGGATGGTAAGATCTCTGAATTTAAGAGTAAACTCTGATAGACTCTTGGTCGCAGAAAACCATTTGCAAAGACGATCTCCCTCAAATGACATCAAAGATTCCTCATCAAAAACAACACTTACGATTGTCAGCTGCGGACAGGATTCTATATAATTCAATACGCCACTGACTCCTTCCCCCAAAAAGTATGTATCAGCATAGAGTTTAACAGGGGTCTGTAGATTTGAAAAGCTCTTACAAGCCATTAAAACCTTAAGAAAAAAAGGATTGTGACCTTCATATGACTCAACGGTTATGACCTTTGGAAAAGGTTTAATTTTACATAAAGTAGCTGCCGTTTGTTCAGGATGTCCACTTTCATTAAAGCTTTCAATAAAGAAAGTAGCTTCCTCCTCACTGCAATGCTCGTTCCAGTCCCAGTCATCTTTCTTTAACTCCTCGCCAATCTGGGTGAAAAGGACAGTTGCTTTCTCGCCCAGCATACCAGAAACAAAGATAAACACTTGTGGGTATTTCGTTACCAACTCGGCAAAGAGAAAGTGATCAAATACATTAAACTGTTCATTTACTATCTTCTCTGCGATATACGCTGCAGCCACGTACTCTTGGAAGGTCTTGTGAAGGAAGCAGTACTCATGTTCAGGCTTTAATCTCTTTAAACTTTCCTCCTTGTAAAGAAGGCCTAGCTCACGTGCTACCAATCCCGGGTATCTACTTTCAAACTCATCCAATTCAGATTCGCGGAAACCATAACGATCACTCAGAAGGCATAACCAAGCTAGCTCTCCAAGGGCAAGAATTTCCTTTTCAAATTTTCTCTCTAAGGCGATGTCATTGCTAGGGGCCGGTTGGTTGCGTTTGGCGCAGTATCGTCTCAAAAGACATTGCACAATGACTTGGTAAAGTTCCGTCCGGGAAGTCGGCAATTTTCCCTCGTAGTCCTCATAAACAACACAAAGGAGAAGTAAATTTAGTGGGTTATTTCGGAGTGCATTCAAGAAGGTGTTCTGTTGCATTTCCTCAATGAGCCTCTCCCCCTTTGGTGACTGACCAATGGTTTCAAAGTGTCTTCTGACATACGCAATAGAATCACTTTCCGTGTACCCTTTGATTTCTAAATGAATGTCAAAGACAAAGGTTTTTCGTGCTTCAATTCCTCTTTCTTGTCGTGACGTAGCCAAAACATAGCAAAATGGGAAAATTCGTCTGTGAAGCAGCTCATCTACATGGTGCCGTGATTTTTCAGGCAGCTCATCCAAACCATCCAAAATGATCAAAATTCTCTCCTGGCTATGAATATCCTTCAAGAAGTGCAACAATTTCTCTACAATCTTCTCCTCAATATCTCTGGGCAGAAGCTGTTCTCTTATGGTATCCATTATATTTCCATCAATGTCTCGACATTTGAGGAGCAACACAAGTTCAAACTTGGGAAAAGAACACTCTGTTGGGATTTTTCCATGTGTACAGTCATACGCAAGTTTAAGGCAAAATGTTGTTTTACCGATTCCTGGACTTCCTTCGACAAGCGTCATGACATCCTTACCTTTTTCAAGGGTCTTGAAGATTTCAGTAACATTCACCTCGTCATTTCCACTCACTAAGTCTGGTTTTTGTCCCTCTACTAGCCTGATGACATCCTCAACTTTATCAGGAGCTTTGAAGAAATCTAACTCATTAAACTCACTATTCACGTCCACCCTCAAGTTTGGACTTCCCTGTGCTAGCGTTAGGACATCCGCACCTTTTTCAGGGGCTATGACGTGGAACATATTCGCCTTCGCCTTGGCTTCCATCTGGCTGGCCAACTTTCGTCTTGAAATGATTTTCAGTCTCGTGTAAACGTTCTCTAGGGGTAACTCGATAGTGCTATCCCAAAGAAGTGGTCTTAACAGACAGCGCCTTTTGTATTCAGCTTTGAGCAGTTCAACAACAACCGAGTTGTTCCAACCTGCTGGAAACAAAAAGGTAAGGGAATATTTGTCAATAAACGCAAACGTTAAGACTTGAAATTCCAAACGGATTGATCTCACTGACATGCTTTTCTCTCCTCAGTAAGCTGAAGGGCCGTTATTTCTCCTTATTCTGCTTACAGATAAGTATGTTACTGTCTATACAAGTAAATGGTTTCGATGACATATTAAAATACCTTCCGTGACAGAATGAGCTTCACCGAGACAATGGTAACATTTGGCGAAAAAGAAAATGCTATCAACACTTACATTTTTATGAAAACTGTGTGCCATACACTCTCTGTAAAAACATTTCACTATTAAGGTTCATTTCTTAAAAAATTAATGGACAAATCACTTGCGTTCCAAAACAGAACTGAGATCACTCTCAATTTCCCGACAAGTGATTGGTTTATTCATTACAACGCAAATACAAAGAGTAAGGAAAGTGGTTCAATTTTCAGCAGCCTACCGTGTAGCATGAAAATTTTGCGGGTTTTAATTTTTGCGAATTTTGCGGATTGACCTCGATCCGCAAAAATTAGTTCCCGCAAAAAAAAAAAAAACCCGCAAAATAAAATGCCGCAAAAATTAACTCCCTTCAGTCAAATTAAAAACTCCGCTTTTAATGGACTTGTTGTGTATGGTAGGGATAGGCTTTTGTTTTGTTTTGCTGTTGTTCAGTCCCTTTGTGCAGTAAGATATTACAGTGATTACCGTATTATTCGCCATTAAATATGTAAGTAGAGTGAACTTTGACTCAACATACCGTAAAATAAAAGTTGAAAATACCATATTAAGGTTTCTTCCACTTAAATATTCTGCTACTTGAACAGAGAATCGCAAAAATTAGTTCCCACCAGAAATTTCAGTCATCTCGAACCGCAAAAATTTGTTCCCGCAAACCACAAAAAATCGCCAATCCGCAAAATAAAACTCCCGCAAAATTTTCATGCTACACGGTAGCCTCCCACGAAGACTTTCCTAGGGCGTCACGAACCCCTTAGAAGTTCTGCGTAGGAGGCTGACCTGACTGACAAGAGGCTAGTGCTAAAGAGTCAGTTTCTTACACTGAAAGTAACGTGATAAAAGCATAACCAGGGTCTAGGCCTAAATGTGGCCTCGTTCTACTTGTACCTTACGCTAAACATATCGTGTTACAAAGTACGCTAGAAGTTTGGAGAGTGTGTCAGACGTGAGAATCTCAAGATTTTCTCTAAGTGTATCCGAGGCTACGAAACTATCGCTTCATCAGGATTTCCAACAAGAAAGGGGGACTTAAATAATAAAGCCACTGCCCTGTGCAGCAGAGGAAGTAACCCAGACAAACGCTATATTTTAAGAGTGCTTTTGCTTAGGCGATAGGGCTGCGAGACTAATGGGGATGAGCCAAGTTGAGCCGGCGGGAAGTACTGTCACACTCTTATTTCGTAAGCTATACAACTTGTGAAGCCGCATTTTAGAGACACGAGACCGATGACACAAGACCATCCTAAACTCTCTCATACACATGTAATGCGACACCAACCCTTACTCTAAATAATCCAGAAACGAACTTTACCTTCCTCTTTCAACAGTTTCGGTTGTTTTGGAGTGGAAACAGCACATGATGATAACGGCCTTTTGCCTTTTCTCGAAGACCTGGATCTCTTTGCTGTCTTTGCTGCGCCGCCGCCTATAATTAAATCAATTACCAACATTAAAGGGATTACGTCACGAGCATATACCTAGGTTATTGGTACTTAATTTCGCGGTTTTCGCGATTGTGGAAAAATCGCGAAATTAAAGACCCGCGAATAAAAATCCCCGCGAGATTTAAACCAGCGAAATTTAATACCCATACAGAAAATTGAAATCACAGAAAGAAAAAATTAATTAAACAATTACAATATATACTCAAACACCGACAAATTATAAGCTGGTTAACTGGTAAGTTCCATTCCTTGACTGTGCTTGGTGACTGACCAATGGTTTCAAAGTGTCTTCTGACATACGCAATAGAATCACTTTCCGTGTACCCTTTGATTTCTAAATGAATGTCAAAGACAAAGGTTTTTCGTGCTTCAATTCCTCTTTCTTGTCGTGACGTAGCCAAAACATAGCAAAATGGGAAAATTCGTCTGTGAAGCAGCTCATCTACATGGTGCCGTGATTTTTCAGGCAGCTCATCCAAACCATCCAAAATGATCAAAATTCTCTCCTGGCTATGAATATCCTTCAAGAAGTGCAACAATTTCTCTACAATCTTCTCCTCAATATCTCTGGGCAGAAGCTGTTCTCTTATGGTATCCATTATATTTCCATCAATGTCTCGACATTTGAGGAGCAACACAAGTTCAAACTTGGGAAAAGAACACTCTGTTGGGATTTTTCCATGTGTACAGTCATACGCAAGTTTAAGGCAAAATGTTGTTTTACCGATTCCTGGACTTCCTTCGACAAGCGTCATGACATCCTTACCTTTTTCAAGGGTCTTGAAGATTTCAGTAACATTCACCTCGTCATTTCCACTCACTAAGTCTGGTTTTTGTCCCTCTACTAGCCTGATGACATCCTCAACTTTATCAGGAGCTTTGAAGAAATCTAACTCATTAAACTCACTATTCACGTCCACCCTCAAGTTTGGACTTCCCTGTGCTAGCGTTAGGACATCCGCACCTTTTTCAGGGGCTATGACGTGGAACATATTCGCCTTCGCCTTGGCTTCCATCTGGCTGGCCAACTTTCGTCTTGAAATGATTTTCAGTCTCGTGTAAACGTTCTCTAGGGGTAACTCGATAGTGCTATCCCAAAGAAGTGGTCTTAACAGACAGCGCCTTTTGTATTCAGCTTTGAGCAGTTCAACAACAACCGAGTTGTTCCAACCTGCTGGAAACAAAAAGGTAAGGGAATATTTGTCAATAAACGCAAACGTTAAGACTTGAAATTCCAAACGGATTGATCTCACTGACATGCTTTTCTCTCCTCAGTAAGCTGAAGGGCCGTTATTTCTCCTTATTCTGCTTACAGATAAGTATGTTACTGTCTATACAAGTAAATGGTTTCGATGACATATTAAAATACCTTCCGTGACAGAATGAGCTTCACCGAGACAATGGTAACATTTGGCGAAAAAGAAAATGCTATCAACACTTACATTTTTATGAAAACTGTGTGCCATACACTCTCTGTAAAAACATTTCACTATTAAGGTTCATTTCTTAAAAAATTAATGGACAAATCACTTGCGTTCCAAAACAGAACTGAGATCACTCTCAATTTCCCGACAAGTGATTGGTTTATTCATTACAACGCAAATACAAAGAGTAAGGAAAGTGGTTCAATTTTCAGCAGCCTACCGTGTAGCATGAAAATTTTGCGGGTTTTAATTTTTGCGAATTTTGCGGATTGACCTCGATCCGCAAAAATTAGTTCCCGCAAAAAAAAAAAAAACCCGCAAAATAAAATGCCGCAAAAATTAACTCCCTTCAGTCAAATTAAAAACTCCGCTTTTAATGGACTTGTTGTGTATGGTAGGGATAGGCTTTTGTTTTGTTTTGCTGTTGTTCAGTCCCTTTGTGCAGTAAGATATTACAGTGATTACCGTATTATTCGCCATTAAATATGTAAGTAGAGTGAACTTTGACTCAACATACCGTAAAATAAAAGTTGAAAATACCATATTAAGGTTTCTTCCACTTAAATATTCTGCTACTTGAACAGAGAATCGCAAAAATTAGTTCCCACCAGAAATTTCAGTCATCTCGAACCGCAAAAATTTGTTCCCGCAAACCACAAAAAATCGCCAATCCGCAAAATAAAACTCCCGCAAAATTTTCATGCTACACGGTAGCCTCCCACGAAGACTTTCCTAGGGCGTCACGAACCCCTTAGAAGTTCTGCGTAGGAGGCTGACCTGACTGACAAGAGGCTAGTGCTAAAGAGTCAGTTTCTTACACTGAAAGTAACGTGATAAAAGCATAACCAGGGTCTAGGCCTAAATGTGGCCTCGTTCTACTTGTACCTTACGCTAAACATATCGTGTTACAAAGTACGCTAGAAGTTTGGAGAGTGTGTCAGACGTGAGAATCTCAAGATTTTCTCTAAGTGTATCCGAGGCTACGAAACTATCGCTTCATCAGGATTTCCAACAAGAAAGGGGGACTTAAATAATAAAGCCACTGCCCTGTGCAGCAGAGGAAGTAACCCAGACAAACGCTATATTTTAAGAGTGCTTTTGCTTAGGCGATAGGGCTGCGAGACTAATGGGGATGAGCCAAGTTGAGCCGGCGGGAAGTACTGTCACACTCTTATTTCGTAAGCTATACAACTTGTGAAGCCGCATTTTAGAGACACGAGACCGATGACACAAGACCATCCTAAACTCTCTCATACACATGTAATGCGACACCAACCCTTACTCTAAATAATCCAGAAACGAACTTTACCTTCCTCTTTCAACAGTTTCGGTTGTTTTGGAGTGGAAACAGCACATGATGATAACGGCCTTTTGCCTTTTCTCGAAGACCTGGATCTCTTTGCTGTCTTTGCTGCGCCGCCGCCTATAATTAAATCAATTACCAACATTAAAGGGATTACGTCACGAGCATATACCTAGGTTATTGGTACTTAATTTCGCGGTTTTCGCGATTGTGGAAAAATCGCGAAATTAAAGACCCGCGAATAAAAATCCCCGCGAGATTTAAACCAGCGAAATTTAATACCCATACAGAAAATTGAAATCACAGAAAGAAAAAATTAATTAAACAATTACAATATATACTCAAACACCGACAAATTATAAGCTGGTTAACTGGTAAGTTCCATTCCTTGACTGTGCCTTCTGTTGTAAATTAAAATAACGTTAATATGCGTTTTTCTTGTTTCATTTTATCTCTATATTTTAAAAAATTCAGACGTTTGAAAAATAAAATCAGGTTGAGAACGCTCTAATCGCAAAATCTAATGCCTTTTTTCATAATTGCCTAGCGAAATCGCGAAAATAAGACCCCGCGAAATATTGTCTTGCCAAAATCGCGAAATTAACCACTACTAAGGTAGCTCTCTTTTAGCTCAATTCTGTGCTGAAATCATTACTGAAACAAAATACTCCTGTAGTGTTATGAAGAAGATCAAACAATCTTCATCAAAGAGCACTAACCATAATAATATATATATATATATATATTTTTTTTTGATTTCTGAAGGCATAGCCTTAGATAGCATTAAAACGTGTGAAAAAGTTGGCCCAATTTTTTCAAGTTTCAATCACCATCCGTAGCAACAACTTTTGTCCTGTTAACTGTGCCGAAGATATTTTGGCAATTTATAAAAGATTATTACACAAAAGAGTATTCTTAAAGCTAAATACACTACGAAATCCTGCTTACGGCTAAAAACAAAGACAATTATTGGAGAACAGATAGCCTAGCAATACTAAAACATTTCCACGGCCCCCCTACAGTCGTCACTTTGAGGGATTTCGAGGTTTTATGAACCGCCTACTGAACTACAGAAAAGTATATCCCTAATCAGTCACTAGATTTCTGCTGTACTCTCTTTAACAACTGCATCGTTTAGAGGAGATGGGTTCTAGGTATTCAGATGGTAGAACGCGGCCGAAAAATTGACGAGGAAAAAAAACGAGAGAGAAAATGGAAAAGGGAGGGAACTCGCCCCACTCTCCCCTCATTTTTTCCCCTTCGTTTCCTCCGTGTACGATTTAACTCGCTCCCCATCATCCGAACACCGCACTCTACTAACTGAACGCCTGGAACAGGCTAGCCCGTGGTAAACCCGCGCCTTCCAGCCATGAGCCCACACACCAATGGAACCAGGCACCTGTCACATTGATTTATCAGAGGAAAAATAAAAGGGGAGGAAGGATGGGGGTAAAAGAATGAAAAGAATGATCCAAAGGCCAAACGAAGAGAGAGGCCGCCAGGAAACGCTATACAACTCACATCGAGATGATGCAAGCAAGGCTGACCGCGCTTGAGCCACCACGCACTGACGGCTGACCGACAACACGCAACCGCTCTCCTTGTTATTAACTGCGTTAAATTTCATTTAACTTCATTATAAAACCTGAAACGAATCTTGTTTGTCGACAACTGGCAAATGTAACCTGTGACAATCATAATAAATGAGTCTTGTTCGGTGCTTGATCATTCCTTGTCACTGTACAGTGTACCATCCCAGCAAGGAATACTCAAAAAGCTCTCGTTAGAGTATAGTACATTTTCTACAAGAAAAACAACGATTTGCTCTTGAATATGCATGTAATATTGTTCACCTACGATTCAAGAATACCTTTTTGAAGACGTTTTTCAGAAGAAGAGGGTTTTTCAACTTGACAGATCACAGAGGCTTTCTTAGATAACTGCTGTTCATCTGTATTGGGACCTACAAAAAGAGTAGAAACACAATTATTCTTTGCTTCAAAGCATCAGGGATGAACGGAAATTAGCCAGCGTTTATCCGTCACTGAAACCGAGTTCTAAGCTATTTTCAATTTGGCTAAACCCTTCTATCTAAACATCGTTTACTATAAACAATGTAAAAATGCATGCAGTCCATTTTATATCATTTATTCAGTTTAGCTTTAATGTGACGTGGATTAAATCATACTCACATGTATTTCGCGCTGTATGGGTATTAAAATATTTATTTAATAACTGTTACTATCTAAACATCGCTAAACATCATTAACTATAAACATTAAAATGGAAATCAATTAAGTCGACTTAGCTTGACTTCGTAGAAATAAACGGAGCCACTGTTTTCTGGTGAACCTTTGATACAACAACAAACAACCAAATACCCTGGAACGACTGTAATTTTAACTCAAATTTGAAAATTTTTTGTTCATCTAGAAAAAATTTTGAGGCCTAAACGAAAATTAGGCTTTCATGTGTGGCAAAACTTACTATGATTTTTACTGTTTCCGTTTGTACAATTTTACTTCTAGACTGTTACCGCAGTAGGGAGCTTAGGTAACCACATGCAAAAGACGTCTCGAAAAAGTAAAATTAACTTCGCGTTCTTCCAAAGTTATCGCAATTTTTTCTTAACTCCCACAATTTGTCAAATATAGGTGAACTTTCCTGGTTGAGTTGAATTGTTAGAGACCTTATCCACATTCAAAAAGAGAGAGAAAAATTTGTAGTTGTCAGGTTTTCACTCAAGGAACTGTATAGGGGAGGGGAGGGGGGGGTAAGAAAGAAAAGAAGGAGGGTGGAAAAAGGGGAGAGGGGATTGGGGAGAGAAGGAAGGGAACGCCTGCTATAATTCTATAATTACCCCGTTTTGTTCACCTCTGCGGACGCTGGCGTCCGCAAATTCTGATTGTTTAATCAGAAAATAGAACAAGCTTGTTCAGCAAACCAAACTAGCGATTTCAGTTAGCCTGCGTCGTGTTGTCAAACATTTTCCGAACGATGACTTCTCCGTCAGGACTCAAAATCAATGCCGGTGTCTTAAACTGAGTGCTTGGCTTTCCCGTAATATCTTCTATACTACAATAATTCAACAAAATATTGGCATCTTGTCCAGCGAGTGTAAGTGTTACTTGCTCAGGCGTCTGTGTATAAAATGTTTCAATACTAGCACTTCCCGATTCTATGTCCGACGAGTCACCCACTTTCGAGCTTTCTGCAAACAAGGTCTTTCGAGAATTAACCTTTCCAGCAGTTCACTGTCAGATTCGAGACGTTTCTTTCTTACATCGCTTCTTGGGAAGCTGTCTTTTGCTTCGATCTTCCACAGCCTCTCAATGTAAATCTTCCTCGACAATAGTGTTGCTTACAGCCTTCTCGATGAAACTGTACAGTTGAGCTGCGTTTCTAATTTTGAGACCACAAGGTCTGCAGACCCGTTACAATAGTTGGCAATAGAGCCGCAACAATGAGCTAAAATCAGCCCCGCACTTTCAACTCTTCCCGACGGCGAAAATAAATTTTTAAATGAGGCTGGTCCTCCCCCCAGAAGTAATGCACCTATCATGTGAAAATATCATGTTTTCGCGCGAAAGCTCACCTGGTATTTCATTGGTGTTCATATAATTAAACTATCTCTGCCATGTTCGTTCACACACACACGCACATACACTCTTGGCGCGCAATACCGCTGAGCATAAACACCACAGACATACCAACATATTCTTAACGCTACATACCAAGACAACTAATCCTGCCTAGGGCTGAAAACGAACAAAGTCGTTGCAGGACAGATATTTCTAAGGTTCCTAATTTAGGGATTTGGAGGTCACATGAATACCGTTCATTTACAAAGGTATATCCATTACTAATAATGGCCGTTTTCACACTAGAGACGTCGGATCACCCATCTTGGAAAAACCGGCTCGTTTGTAAGTCAACGGACAAAGCTACAACTTAAGTGTACCTTTATGATGAGGTTTTGCAGAAGAAGAGGCTCTTACATCTTGACAGAGTACAGGGGATTTCTTAGATAAATTCGGCTCATCTGTACTGGGACCTACAAAAAATAGATACAGTTCTTTATCAACGTCGTACACCCGTTGATTTAAACAGAGTTTAAGAGTTTAACCAATCCACTCAAATCAGTCAAATATAGAACAACTTTCCTAGTTGAATTAAATTGTTAGGGACCCTTTCCCAGCTCAAGAAGAGAAAGGAACACTTGTCGTTGTGTGCACACATTCTTCTTAAGGCACTGAATTAGTTGCAGTTACACAAAGGACAACAAACAAATGCATAAAAAAAGCGTTTTCGCCCACGTGGCCAGCACCTTTGCAAATTTATTATAACAAAAGAAACTTTTCGCAGAAGAAAAGAGTTCAACTCCCGCAGGATTGGTTTAGGACACCAACATAGCCGCCATTTAATTGTTTTATTACACCAACAGGGACTTTACGATCCGACGACACGATGGCAGCGAAAACGTCGCTTAAAAAGCGAATTTACGTTCTTGCAGTCTTTATTGCGATTATTCCTATCCTTTCACTTCATCAAAAGTTGGCGAATCTTCCTGGAGTTGAATTCCTAGGATTCCTATCCAAGTTCAGAAAAAGAAATTTAAAAAATAGGCATTTTCACCTGGTAGTCCTACAAAAACGGCAAAGAAATGTACAACAGTGTGATGCACGTGCAAAGTTTTTGTTTTGCCTACTAAAGCCGTGTCCACGTTAATGCGTTTTCGTTTGAAAACGCCATATAATTCGATGCGTTTAGGCCTTCCGTCCCCACTAACGTGTTTTCATCGAAAACGCATCGAATTAAAAACGTTCAAGGAAGTGCATCAAAACGAAAACGCATACATATCCTATTAGAATGGACAGTCTTAAACAAATCAAAATGAAAACGATGACCGAAAATATCGCAGGCGCGTGTGTTTGTAGCATGCGCATCGAGTCCAACTTACGTCACAAAGTGCAATTCTATCGTTTTCCAACGTTTTAATGTGGACAGTCGAAAACGACAACAGACAGATAAAAACCGATAGAAACGCACCAATGGCATCTCGAGTCTTCATAGCCAACAACATCACGGCTTAACTGACAGACGACCAATAACATCGCAACTTAATTGACCAATCAGGTCAATAACCAGAGTTTTAAAATACCATCAACTGACGTGATACAACTTACTTTGACTCTGAAGATCACTACAGAACAGGTTGTCGAAACGTCAGTCACTGTCAACAACAGTCTTGTTCAGGGCTAAGTTCACCCGCACGATCATACTCAACCTACTTATAGAATGACTTCTGGGTTCAAACCTTTCACAATGATTATTATGTTGATGACAATGACGATAAATATAGTGAGAATTACGACAGCGGTCCATCACGTTATTAATGGAACTCGATAAAGGATGGTGATTGTAGTGTTGTGGTCTGAAGGAAACCTTTTTCTAATTAGGAAAAGCTTACTGTGCTGTAGTTTGACCGTCCGTCCCTATTTTCCTAACCAGTTTTTCGCTTCCCTAACTAGTAGGTTCTGATAGCCATTGTACAACACAGTTGTTAATCTCGAGGCCATTGTTTCTTTAGGGACGGTCGAGTTAAGTCGCAAGGTGGGTGTCTTAAGAAGCCCATGTAAGACGAGTTTTGTGTTAAATATGGCTCGCACCCTACATGTAACTCGCTTGACTTGCATTGCTCGCACTGTACGGTGTGCTGGCCTGCATATTGTTACAACTCATTTTGGAGGAAGTATGCTTAATTCCGACTGTAGCTAGAGGACTTTTGAGAAACCGATAAATTTAACAGTATTACCACCCATTCGACATGTATTCTAATAGACCTTTTTAGCTTGAATGTTTTCATATGCACGTGCATCCACGTGCATATGTATGCATAATTAATGAAAAGTCAAAAGGCAAAATCCCTGGAGAACATCACGTGGTCTGAATAGGGAAAACAAAACATACAAGCTAAAAAGGTCTATTATTTCTTAGAAAATAGATTTTGATGGGTTTTCCAAAAAAGCACTGGAAGTGAAACAGTTATACCAGTTATATGAGTTCAAAAATCTGACCTCCCTTTTAGAAGAAAAAAAGGAAAAAGGGACAGAGGGAGCCCGACCGCTGTATTAGCTAATACAAAAAATAGATGTATTTACGCTGTATTGGCTAATAAAATAACAAGATGCATTTTCCTTTGTTCCTGTGTCTTTATAAGTCGTTTTGGTAGGGATTTGAATCCGATCAGAGACGGTTAACATTGCTGGTTATCAAATGCGTTTTCTTGTATGGCGCGTCGTAAATAAGACGCTTAAGTTTCGTCTCACGTTTCTAATTTTGTTAACTATTAAACGACGCGCCAGACAAGCGAACGCATTTGATAACCAGCAATGTTTACCGTCTCTGATCAGATTGTAGTCTAAATTTCTAGGCGAAAAATAAATTCTTTATACTAACCTTCATTTCTTAGTAAGTGTTTTCGGTAAGCTCTGTACTCCTCTTCATTGATGGTCAAAGTAAGTTGTACTGAATCAAGACCCAAATCCTTTAGAATGTCCTCTGTCACAAGATACTTCTGCGCAACTTCAGTTAGATGGCCTGTGCAATAGTCTCTCCACAACTCATCAAGAATATGGGGCGAACTAGCTTGCACTTTGATTATCAAGCTTCCAGTCTTAACATCAACAATCAATAGTTGGCGCACCTCTTTCATATACTGAAGAAAACCATTTACCTCCTCTGGATTTGAGGGGTTGATGGTTTTAAAACGCTCAGCTGTAATAAGATTCATAACCTCTTGTGTAGAGGGATATATTTTTGTCACCACTTTTTCCTCCAGATTAACATTTTGGGTTGGTGAAGCTCCTTGCTCTCTAGTGACAAAATCAATCCGGATATCAAGATTTTCTGCTGAAAACATAATAAAAAATACATAGTTCATATCTGACTGGATTTGATACAAGGTGCCTGCACTCAGTCTCTAGACAGCCAAGTCCAAGAAACAAGAACTCAGTCATCCTCCCCACCCATGACACTTAAGACTAGTTAATACCCCCCTCCCCCGTCTTCCAATCGTTAGCAGGATTCCACATTCCATCCGATGCATTCCGAATTCCAGAATTTCAAGGCAAAAGGTACCTGGATTGTGGAATGGGGCGATCACCTCTAAACTACACCGCGCCAATGGCCAGCATTTAGAAGTCCCAAGCTGAAAATTTCACTTAAAATAACGTATACAAAATGACCAAGCCTCTATGTTTGCCCCCGTTTACAAAGAGGGAGGGTAACCCTGGTGCTAGGGGTACCCTTGTAGGAGGGTTACCCGAGCAATCGCACATTTCTTCTTTTTTTAAACGACGTACTTACAAAGCAGAGACGGTTACCCTAGGGCTAGGGTAAACCTACTTGAGTGCTAGGTTTACCCTAACAAGAGGATTACCCTACCTGCCTTGTCCTGCGTCAAGCGTGACCAATAATCTTAACAATTTGAACGGAGTTATCCAATTTCGGAGCGAAATTATAAACATCTGAACAATATACGGCATTTCCTGTATACGATGATAATATTTTCCCGTATTTCCGTGAATTTATCGTGTTTTCCACAGAGATCTTCAAGTTTTCTTTCACATCGTACAAGTTACAAAGAATGTTTATTTTAGTCTTATGTGGTCACGCGTGAGGGAACACGTCAGTAAAGCTGGTATTTCCTGTATACAATGATAATATTTTACCGTATTTCCGCGAATTTATCGTGTTTTCCACAGAGAACTTCAAGTTTTCTTTCAAATCTTGGAAGTTACAAAGAATGTTTATTTTAGTCTTATGTGGTCACACGTGACGAGACACGTCGCAGGGACACCCAACGAGAATATACTTCAAAACCACTTAAACATAGCATTGTTAAACGTATTTTAGTATTTAATCGGTAGATATAGACATATTTTTATCCCCTATTTTTAGGGTAAAAATCCCGTAAAAATGGGCAATTATACCATTTTTTGGATGTTAGAAAATTCTAGGAGAGGCAGACAGGCAAGAAATTTTACAACAAATGTTCTGAAAATTCTAAAACTCAAATCGTCTTCCCAACAGATATTTTCCGAAAATTGACGTTGGGTCCCCCTGACGTCGGTACAGCAGGCAAAGTTGACCCAGGTGATAGGGTAACTCTGCCTGCGGAAATTTTGTTTGTAAACCCGGTCTATCTTTAACCCGCTTGCTAGGGTAACCCTACCACAAGGGTAACCCTCTCTCCTTGTAAACAGGCCCTTAAAATGCAATTTCCTTTTGCTGTGAAACGAGCATTTTTTGTCGGCATCTCACTTTGTTAACCTGTAACCAGTGTGAAATTGTCGTGACCTTGTAAGTCAGTCTTAAACGAGTCTCGTTCGATGCTTCGACCATTTCTTGTTTATTTAACATCCCCGTAAGGAATAATCATTAAACCCAAACAGACTAAAGTACATCTCTCAGATCTTCCTACACAGAAAACAATGAATTGCTCTTGCGGACATATTGTTCATGTTTCTAAGCTTCAACTATACCTTTATGAAGACGTTTTTCAGAAGGAGAGGGTTTTTCATCTTGGCAGATCACGGTGGCTTTAATAGATACATTCTGCTCATCTGCATTACGACCTACAAAAAGAGAAGCAATACAATACCATTATTTACTTTTGACCCTCAGGGTCGGGAATAAGACGTTGAAAGGTATCGCGATTTTCAAACTCTCTGAAATTGGCAAATTTACAGATGTAGGCGGACTTCTCTGGTGGGGTTATTAAAAGAGATAGACAAATTTGTCGTTGTGAAGTTTTCACTAATGTTGTCATTGTAATTGCGTGAACTTACATTTCCTGATGCCAGCAGATTACACAATATCAAGACCAATTTGAATTAAAAAGTGAACCTGTTACCTTGAGAAATGGCAAGCATTCGTTGCACAAGTCTATTACAGTGATCCTGCCAGCTGTACATCTCGGCATACTCTCCTTGAAGAAGCTTGGCCTCTCTCAGTCGCAGCTTCCTTTTTTTCTTCCGAACAGCTTTGATTGCATTGGCCCAATCTTTAGGATCTTCTGATTCCACCACACAATGTGAACCATTCGGAACTTCCTGTAAGGCCTCGCCAAGACCAGAGTTCCCACTGACCAGCACAGGCAGACCAGCAGATAAAGCCTCAAGGGCGGCAAGACCAAAGCCCTCGGTTCGTGATGGCATTATAACAAGATCTACTTCACAAAACAAAAGGGCTACCTGCTCTCTACTTTCATTAAAACAACGCACAGTTAGTTGACTGCGATCAATGCCTTGCTAGAGCAACAAATCTTTTACTTTCTCCTCTTCTCCACTTGGAGCTCCAACAAACAACAGCTTATAGGGCTGTGGCTCGTCTTTCAACTGGGCAATAGCGCAGGCAGCAATGTCATATCCTTTCAGCTGAAAGTCTTCATTGTTACCACGTCCAAACGCTAAAACACTGAATGTTTTTCTTTCTTCAGTGGCTTGCTTTACATCAGCAAATTCAGAGAAGACGCCAGGTGTAAGATTAAGAACATCTTGATCCTTTCCACAGACACGGAGATAACCAGAGAAAGCTTCAGCCAGCTTAGGACCAACTGCTACAACTTGATCAGCTTTTTCACAGAGTTTAACCTCAGCCTGGTGCTTTTTCTCGCCTCTTGAAATAGCATCTGCGTAGGACTTGTACATACCAAGCTCTTCAGGAGCTGTATGAACGACCTGAATCCACTTGCAATGATGATGTCGTTTTATGATCTGCACTTGCCGACCAAGAACGGCTCCATGTCCTATGTGTGTCAGGTGTCTTACCAGAAGGCCGTCTGTAGATAACCAGAAATTTGGTTCTAAACCTGGCATTTCTTCTGCTTCAATAAGATGGACATTGTGACTTGCAGCAACTCGTTTATCTTCCTCGCTGCACTTGGGGAGATAAACACTGACCTCCACGCTGGAGTGTTTAGCCAACTGAATGGCCAGCTCTCGGTTAATGGTTGACAAGCCTCCTTTTGTTGATCTCCATTCACTGCTTAACAGAGTTACCCTCAATTTGCTGGAGGAAGTGGATTCTGAAATGCTTTCATGGTCTTCCTGTGATGTAGAGGCTGTGCTAGGAAAGGATGACAATTCCTAAAAAAAAGTGGTATAAATTTATTTAAGGGTTAATTAAAAAGCTAACCTGAGATCAGGCTCAATTTTAGCAGTTCTCATACACTCTCTCTTACATAGTCCCACTAAAATTTCTCTTTTCGTTTCGCCTTGCCCAACAGAATGTTATTTACAAAGAGAAACGAAACTAGAGCCTTATATCAGGTTATTAAAAAGCCTTTTTAATAGTAAGTTCTTGCAAACTTTAATTGAGCATTGTCTTCCACTGCTTTTCTGCTGGCGAGTGCACTTGAAAAAATTCACTAGAAAAACATGCAGGACATTTTTTGAGTTTGGGTGACCTGTGGTGTCTCATGTATATGTGCAACTCTATACGATAAACCCCCTATTAACCCCCCACTAACCGCCAAATAAGCCCCTCCCTTTTCAGGGAAGAAAGTTATTAAGCCCCCACTCTCTTTTAAGCTTCCACTCCCCTCCCCCTTTATTCTTAAACAATACACTGTATTAATTAATTATGTACTGTAACACTTCTTCATATGGACTGGCCTAGTATGATTTATTCATATGCCTCAAAGGGAGGGGGACAGAGACAACTTGTACTTTGAAAGGTCAAAGATGATGCAGGATACTAAGAGTGTCTCAACAGCACAGTACGCCTGTACCACACTAAGAGGTGTGGACTACATGTATGTAAACAGCACAGTACACTTGTACCACACTAAGAGGTGTGGACTACATGTATCTAAACAGCACAGTACACCTGTACCACATTAAGAGCTGTGGACTACATGTATGTAAACAGCACAGTACACCTGTACCACACTAAGAGGTGTGGACTACATGTATGTAAACTGCACAGTACACCTGTACCACACTAAGAGGTGTGGACTACATGTATGTAAACAGCACAGTACACCTGTACCACACTAAGAGCTGTGGACTACATGTATGTAAACAGCACAGTACGCCTGTATCACACTAAGAGGTGTGGACTACATGTATGTAAACAGTACAGTACACCTGTACCACACTAAGAGGTGTTGACTACATGTATGTAAACAGCACAGTACACCTATACCACACTAAGAGGTGTGGACTACGTGTATGTAAACAGCACAGTACATCTGTAACACACTAAGAGGTGTGGACTACATGTATGTAAACAGC